GCAAGCAGAAGCAAATATAAATGATCGATCGAGGCGTATAGGAGAGACGAGATGTGGGAGCGGCGTGTGAAAGGGTGAGGATTTTTGGGTGAAAATTTCAAATGAACGTGACCCTAGCTGCTCCTTTTCAATTTTTACTTAATTTTTTTTAAAATTTATAATTGAAAATTTAATTTTCGGTTATCGGATATCAGGAGTACCCGAAATTTCTTGAATCAATATTTGTATACGAATCCGAAAGTATAGATATCCGAATTTCTGATAATCAAAAATTCGGATATCAAAAATTCAAATATCCATTAGTTCAAGGGGTAGAACTTCTAGCGATTGAAAGAACATGTTACGGAGCACCCTATTAGTAGAAGAAAGTAAGAAATTTACTAAGACAAATAAGCTTGCTAAATAGAGAATGCTTCTGCAAACAAGCTACGTTCGTTAGGGGTGTGTTTAGTTTGTGAACACGATCACAATCGGAATAACTGAAAATCGAAAGTGACAAATCACATAACCGAAGCCTGGACCGATATAAAAGAGTAGGTTTTGGTTCAGCTTTGGGTTTGGGCTAGTTATATCGGTCTCAAAACCATTTATGATCGAAAATACTTGACTTGTTGTTACAGAACCGAAAATAACCAAAAAAACAAGACATGTTAGTATATAAAATTTGTAAAGGGGGATTTCATGTCTCGTACAACAGAATGATCTATGACAATAAAATATTATATTTTATATTAAAAAAATCAACTCTAATACCTTTTGTTTGGCGACCTGTAAATGAGTCGATACATAACCAAATAACGCATTTTCATAGTCTAACATTAAGCCAAAAAATTGAACTACATTCTGGAAAAAAAAAGGTCGATGGAATTATAACGAAACAGTTATGATTGTTTAAAGTGGAGTAAAAATTATACATACTGCAAAATAAGCAACAAATCAGCTTTGATACCCTATGTTTAGGGTTGTAAGTCGGTTGATATTTAACAAAATAAGGTGTTTTCATATTATAATATTAAGCCAGAACATTTAACTTTAGCTCAATCGGACTTACAACGAAGTAGTTATCCGGTATTAGGGAACTGATAACCGGGCTGGGTACGCCTATTTGGTTCCAACCGGTTCCGAGTCAAATTTTCAGTCAAAAAGTTCATCCCTAGCTTCCGCGACCAGTTGTCTCCACGCCTAAGTTGTTTCAAAAGCCAAGCAGAATGTTAATTCGTTGATGACTTATGAAAATTCAGGAAAACAGTTACAACTTCTAGATAAACGTTTATAACTTCTCAAAACTGTTTTGTCAACCTTATCCATATTGTCGGTATAGATAGAAGTCATAATTAAGATTTTTTTACCCACAACGAAAAAATAAACAAATTGCATAGTCTTAGTATCTTTGCTTTCGAGTTTTGCCAAGACTGAAAGTGGTTTTGATTGAATACCGGATACCCTATATTAAATTTCGTAATACTCAGACAGTAAAAATTTGGCATGTTTGGTAACAAGTTTTTGAGATTTTATAAGAGAGTTTTTGCAACTTTTAAAAAGAGCTCGAAGTACCCCAAAAAAAAAATCTTTGTCTGGGAGCATGAACATAAAATTTTTATTTTAGAATAAAAACTTCTAATATAAAATTTATTTCAAGTAATGTTAAAAAAAACCTCTACCTATTTTAACAAAATTATTGAGTTGTCCTTAAAAAACCGCGTACATATTTATTTATATTAATTCTAATAACGTCCAATCTTCAAAGGTAATAAGTTTTATTCTCCCCATACACAACATCGATCCACATCATTCCTCTTGAGATTATACATGTGTTCATGTATTCACCTCCCGATACTTCTATATCACACAGTTCTTTTAGAATTAGGCCCCAAAATTATATCTACAACTGATAAATAAATGTAGTTATAATATGAACATATTGAGTTGTAGATGTTATTAATGTATATAGATGGTTGAATTTGGAAAATAAAATTGATCGGTTGTTTATGTTCTATGAAGACCATGGTAGTGAAGCTTATTTAATCACATGTTTGCTAGTTAAGCAATATAGTATCAGGTGTTGTTTTTCCTCTTTGAGGTCGGGGGTTTAAATCATGTTTGGGACGTAGGTGGAATTAAGAATAGTTTAGGAATAGGTTAAATTTGTAGTTAAAAAGACATGTCATGTATATTTTCTGCAAAGCACATTATCATATGATGCTAGATGGTCTCGAATAATGATAATACGAAAAGTCACATCATATCATACTATATTATAAATGAAACATTTTTTCTTTCACCACATTCATTTGAAACTCTCATTCATTTGAAACTCCAATGACTTTTCAATTTTTTTCTAATAATAATTATAAGTTGGTTAATAAGGTTAAATAAATATCAAATCTAAAGTGTAATCATATATAAACTAAATTTTAATATTAAAAGAATATATTTACTCCTACTTATAAAGTTATATTTTTTAACTTTTTACATATTATACTTAATTTATTAGTTTTAATATATTGTTGGAAGTAACCATATCATTTTAAAGCTACAACTTTTGAACAATTTGTATAAAATATTTAAATTATAAACTTAAATATAACATTACATAACCAACTTAAATATAAATTTTAGTTTAACTTAAACAACCCAAATAATATTTTGTAAATAGTTAAAAGTGATAAATTGTAGTGTCTTTCTAATAATGATTATAATTGGTTAATAAGGTTAATAAATATCAAACCTAAAGTGTAATCATAAATAAACTAAATTTCAATATTAAAATATTATCTTTACTTCTACTTATAAAGTTATGTATTTAACTTTTAACATATTATACTTAATTTATTACATTTAATATGTTGTTGTATGTAAATCATTATCAATTTAAAGCTACAACTTTGGAACAGTTTGGACAGAATACTTAAACTGTTAATTTACATATAACATTATAGTGTTAACTTAAATATAAATTTCAGTTCCATTTAAAAAACCCAATGAATATTTTGTGAATAGTTAAAAGTGATAAATTGTAGTGCTAAATGCAAAAACTAAATTATAATATCAATTTAACTAAAATATTTCCTAAAGATATTTGTATGATTGTTAAAAGTTTTCAAATAAATAGATTAAAATAACTTACAATAACAATAGTTAAAAATAGCTCTATATAAATGATTATATTGTTATCTTTAAAATCAAAAAATAATGTCTGGTTTTTAAATAATTATAATGATAGAAATTAAAACGTTAAGAAAATAAATTTTAGAAAATTAATTAATAACAACAAAAACTATAAATATCATTAAGCCATATATTATATTTAATTTTATTAATGAGTAACTCGTGGGTAGAAGTCATTCAAACGGATGAGATTATACAGTTATAATAGATGTATATATTTTATCATATAATTCAAAATAATCAATATATTATATCAATTTGGTATACGAATTATTATATTAAATTTAACATCAACGTTATTGTTATATTTAAAAAAAAACATATATTTGTAAATATTTCAACTATATAGGTGTTTCTGCGCAACGCGCGGGCATTCGCCTAGTATATGTATATTATCATACTTATTTATATTATAGGTAAATGTTATTTGATTGTTAAATGTTATGGATACAAGGTTCCATATTCCAAAAACAAGATATCATCAATGTCAAATTGAAAATGAGCCTCTAAATAATATGCAACAAGCTTTCAATCGTTCTCATTCATCGTTACAAAGTTTGTTACAAAGTTTAGAGTCATGAAAATTGATAAATAAATAAATAAAAACCCTAATAGAATGCCTAATTTTAGTGTTTAAACACAAAGACCTTATTATGGGTTATTTGTTTTCAATAGCTACATTTATGGTAACTCAAAGGAATACATGATGTTTACAACATCCAAATTACATAACATATGATGAACTTCATTTGCTTTGCTTAACTACATTCGTGATAACACATTATTTTTTTAATTTGGTTGAACATCCAAATTACATAGCGTATTATGAACTTGTTGATATTTATGGCGACGGTACACTTAATGAAGATTTATATGAATCCCTATTCTAATAAAAGAATAGGTTGATTGTCATTTTGTCACGTGTCACCTTATTAGACCTCATAATTAATGTCATGTCACATGTTAATCTATTGATTATCCATTTTAAATTTCAAAATTTAAATTTTCCACACTAATTACATTAAATTAAATAACATTAAAATTAAAATTAAAATAAAATTAATACATATTATAAGGTCACCTACTTATTTAAATCAACGATTGTAATTTCATATAACTAAAAAAAATATCTTTTAATTAATAATTTATTTAAAATAATTGATTAATAATTTTTAATTTTTACTATCAAAGTTTAATTAATTTTGTAACTGTAGTTCCCAACGGTTATAAACTAATGATCTAATAATATGAAGTGTATCTATAATGATATTGTTACTTTAATATATAATGTTCGACTTTATTGATTTTACAACTAGACTTTTTAAGTTTTTGTAATGGAACAAAGTTATGCAAATAATAATAATAATAATAATAATCAATTTTAAAGTTATAATTTAGACAATGAATTTGTTTTCATCTTTATGTTTCAATTGTTTTATTCAAGTTTTTTTTTTTTCTTTTTTTGTAATTTTAAAAGATTTCAAAAATTTACAGCTATTTTTTCCAAGAGGCTTAGATTGTGTCTTGTTAGATTCAGACCATTTGATATCACAGTTAGAAGCCCTCTCTTACCGCGTCTTGTAAAAAGTTGAGTCCGACTTAATCAGGCTTTGACTCAATCAGATCCGACTCAATCAAACAACTCCAAGCCCAAGCCTATCTTCACACATACCATTATTAATACCATTAATATGGAAGGGAAGAAAAGAAGATGAACACAAAAACAAAACTATATGAATTTCTTATATCCAAATAATATACCTATACATCATATGTCTCCATTACACAAGTCTACAAATTTGGTGTAAAAACAACCAAACCATACCAAATAATCAGGAATGATTATGATACGTATCCCACTCAAATTTAGGTTGAGAAAAAACTTGATAATCAATGGGTCCATCTACAACATTCTCAACACTTTGTATACTCTGCAACAATGCAGGCTGAAATCCATCATTCTCAGTAGGCCAAACCCAAAGCTTATGCACTACCAAAACACCAAGAGTCAATATAGCTTGCAACTTTTTCAAATCCCCTCTAACCAAAAAAAAGAAAACCATGGACACAAGAAACAAATCAACACAAATCCTCATAATAAACAAAACCGTATCCATCAACCTCCCATCATTGCCAGCTGGAAACCCTCTCACTCTGTACACAAACAGAAAGTTGTACTTATCCACCACGTATCTGTATCCAAAATAAATCGCACCCACAGGAACTATAAGGGGCGAAAACGACGAATAGATTAACGTGAGGGCAAAAATCGTTAAATTAAACGCGTAATATTGCGCAAAATCAAACGCTTGTTTTGGGACAGGTGAAGTTCTACTAATCGGATACTCGTGTAAACTGTAATTATTATCCTCGTTGTTCCTATTATGCCCTTGATTCGGTGCAATTAGTGGTCTCACAAGTCCTTCAGTAGCGTTTTCTTCAAGGGCGTATTCGTCATTTTGCTCTGGGACTAGGTCGAGCATGTCGTTCTTTTGAAACTTTTGTAGCTTTTTTTTGATCCATGGTATTGGTGCTAAAAGATCGAAGGAGATTCCTAAGAAAGTTGAAGTGATCAAGAATGCTACAGAAGAAAGGCAGGATCTTGATAAGAAGGAGGCGCTCATGTATTGTTCGATTCGTTTACAATCTTCTCCATCTAAATAACATCTACCCATTTTCAAGATTAGGCTTTCTAAAGATGATTCAACTAGGGCTCTTAATAGAATTAGGTTTACTAAAAAGAAGCACACCATTTTCAAAAGTGCAGCTCTTTGTTCTCCAGAAACAGTGAAGTGTTTTTCGAATTTAGAAAGATATGAGAGGGTGGAAGGGACGATTACGTACATGCTTATGAAGATAAGAACATTTGGGAGAAATTGGAAGATTATAGTTGCTAACCAGCTTGAGCTTTGTAGCCATGTTAACCATAATTGAGCATTATCCATGGCTTCTGCGTTTATGATTCTCCCTGCACTTTTTAGGGCACTGATTACAGCAAGAGGTGAGCTGCAAAAGAGAAGGAGGAGTAACAGAAATGAGTTTACGAAGATTCTTCTGACTTTCAAAGATAGCTTAGTGGACCCCAGATGATTCCAGTATATATCAGTTGCTAAAGGTGCCCTTTCAACTTTCCAATGGTTTTTTTGAAGTTGTAACTCTGTGATAGAGAAGAATCTGCCTACACGTTTTTTCTTTTCATTACGAAAATCTTCAACTGCTTTGTTAGCAGTGTAAACATCTTTGAACACTATGAATGCAACTCCAGCACCCTTTGCTCTTCCATCTTTATAAGCTGCCATTTCCATTTCGAGATCAGCTCTGCGTTCCTGTAGTTTTCTTAATTTTTCATCATCTGAAAACCCGAGAAAATCACTGATTCGTCTCCATGAATCCTTCAGGGATTGCCAGAAAGTATGCAGTTTTGATTGGATTCCATCATGATGATCAACTAGGATGCCGTAGTTTGTATCTTCATAGAACAAAGCTTCTGATTCCATTTTGTTTACTAATTTTGTGACATCTTCTCTTACTTTCACCAAGTCTGTGACTAGATCGTCTAAAGCACATAGATCCATGGGGAGTATAACTTTGTAAACCTTTCCAGGGTACTTATGTTGGAAGTACTCCATTAAGGCATCCCTTGCGGGCCCTATGTTTTTGGGGATTCCTTGTATCATTAGAGTGAAAATGGCGGATGAATTGGCGCTACTAGGGTCACTAGGGTTTCCATATCCGTCTCTAAACCTTGTGATTTTCAAACTCCGTTCGATTTTATTAATTCCGTAATGAACTAAGATAACAACAAGCACGACGAACACAAAGTGAATCCAAAGTAAACCCGAACCTTTCGCGATATGATTGATCGTAGTCATTGAGAACTCATCCACCATAGACACTGTTCCCGCGTAAAGATTCAGCGGCAGTAGAACAGTGATGGAGAGTACCGAAATCAATAAAATTAACGAATAGCTCCCGCCCTCAATAAGAAGAAATTGAGCAGCATCAGCGCCGCAGTGGCGGGCGATCTCACGGCCAGTGGCGTGCCAAACCGCTAACAGCTTTGACAGAATGGCAGTGGGACCCGGCATGCGGCGGTGGTCGCTGCGGAGCTTGACGAGGACGAAGACGAGAACGCATGTGATGGTGCCGACGATGGATATGTTGAGGAGGTACTGTATGTTTCCATACCACGTCGTTTCGAAATCTTCATCGCCGGGGGACGACGGTGGAAGGGATTGAGTGTGATCATTCTTCATCGAGATGGTGAACGATGATTGTGGTGCGAGGTTCATGATGCGAGCAACTTGGGGCTCAAGAACCTCCTATCTTTTAGGGGTTTCAATTTTCATTCGGCGAATTCTTGATATTTGATTATGTATCGAAGAGAATTGGATTGATACCTTTCCGATTTAGGGTTAGGGTTTTAGTTGAAATTGGAATCGATGTAGTAATCTTGGTCGGGAGACAGCAAGAAAGAAAGGGATAAATTTGGTACTGTGGACCTCAGGAGGACTCAATGATGTTTAAAACATTAATAAATGAGTTATTTACATGGGAAGTTAATGTATTTTCCAAATATAAGAAATGTACAAAATTACATAGATTTTTCCTTGGGTAAATTACACTGATCACTGATCGTCCCTCGTGCATGTTTCCAAAAGCACGTTTGGTTCCTATTTTCAAAAATTAACTTGGATTGTCCCTCATTTTGTTAAAAGTTACACATTTCATCCATCGATGGTTTAAATTTACACGCTTCATCCCTTACGAGACATAAAATGACTATTATGCCCTTTTATTTTTCTTTTCCATTTCATTTAATGTTATAATTATTATTATTAATTTAAAATTAAAAGAAAAAATAGAGCAACCACCACCGGATCGAACACACCACCTGCATCTTTTAGACACCATAATTTCATCGCCACCTTCCCAGTTCCACCCTTATTCCACCTTTTTTCCTCAATCAAACACCTTATACCACCTTAAAACCCACCGCCAACTTCCTACCTCCTCCTTTGTCGGGTTACACCACCATCGGAACACTCTTGTTGCACTCGTGTTCACCGTCACAAACCGCAACCAACACCCACTTTAAACCTAACATGGATCTTCCTTCAACAATTCCCTTTTGATGCAAAATCATACACTAAAAAGCATCCACCTCTAAACACTTCACTGACATAGCCGATCTATCCCTCAAAACCCCTTTGTAAACTGAAGACATTTCTCCTCCCCAGCAAACTCGTATCTCGCATCGGAAACGTATCGGATGGCAGACTCGATTTCTTCTAACTTGAAACTTTGTAATGAGTTTGATTTGGCACAAAAACCCTCTGGTACCACTGAAACTAAGGTTTCAAACGGAGGCGGAGGCGGAAAATAGCATATTTGTTCTTCTTTTTATGTTCAATGAGGGTGATGGCGTAGATAAAGGGTGTTGGCAGGAGTACAATTGAAGGGTGATGTACAGACGATGGGCGATGGCGGCGATGGTTGCTCCGATGATTGCCTTGCACCTATAGTGGCTGAGATAGGGTTCGTGCGATGCACAAAAAGAAATAGAGGAGATGTGTGGTCGTCGACTGGGTTGTAGAAGAGAGAATACGGTGGCTGAGTAGATTTCTTCGGTGGCTACTTCATGGTTGTCGGCGGCTTCATGGTTGTTGTCTGTCGATAGTTAGAGAGGAAAATGGGGAAACGTGTATGGGGAAAGAAAAGGGGGAGGGAGGGTGAAGATGCTTTTTTTTCTTTTTTCTTTTTAAAGTAAAACTAATAAATGAATAAAAGAAAATTAAAAAAGAAATTGTTAAGGGTAAAATAGTCATTTCATGTCCATAAGGACTAACCGTGCAAGAAAAAACAAACTTAGGGACGATCCGAGTTAATTTTTGAAAATAGGGACTAAACACGCTTTCTGAGATATGCACGATGGATGATTGGTGTAATTTACCCTTTTCCCTTTAGTTTTTCAAGGCGTAAAACTATTGTAGCTCTTTCGCGCTTAGTCTATGCAGTTTTAAAAACTTGTTGTTCGATCCTTTTGGCCAACGCCATCCGAATAAGTCGTTAGTACATCCCATGTGGCCACATGGCTTACCATGTTTATAGCTAAATGAGGCCAAATGCTTACGTTAAATGCCCACACAGGGCACCGACATTTTATCTCTCAACTAACCCTTTAACGTCTCCCTTGTTGATCTTTACCACTTACTTTCACACTTGCAGATACATATGAACAAATCTCTCCATTCCCCTCTCATTCAGTCAACGAATCAATTGTGATTAGTAACGTTCCAAAAATACCAATAAAAATGTTCATTTTTGAATCATCGAATCCATACAAACATTTGTTCCAAAACCAATCATAGTAAAATGTATCTCTCAAACATCAGAGTAAAACAGTAGCATTCAGTGCGGAAAAGCCATCAGGGGATGTTGTGCAGTCAAGTCGGGTCCTTCCCTTTGGAACTAGAAGTACCTAAAAATATTTAAACCACAAAACCGTAAGCACAAAGCTTGGTGAGTTCCCCGAAATACCACAAACTATACATAAGATAGTGTATGTTATGGGCCAAGTCATAGTCTTGTAGTCACTTCCTGCCATGGGCCAAATCATGATCTTTCCTTGCAATGTCGAGGGCCAAATCATGGTCTTACATACAAGTGTCAAAGGCCACCACCTAGTCTTCCATGCAAGTATCACGAAGACAACTAGCATCCTACATACAAATGCCAAGAGCCAGACCATGTTCTTACATACAATTGCCAACAGCCAAATTGTAACGACCCAGAAATCAAGGGTAAAAATTTCATTTTTATTATAGTCAAAACCAAATATCTTTAAATCCAAGTATTCCAAAACATTTCTAATTAAAAACATTTATCAGAGTTCATCCCAAAATCACATAATACGGAAAACACGAGTGTGTGTGTTGCGATCAAGCTGAGCCATTCCTTTCCAAAACAATGATACCTGAAACCATAAACAAAACTGTAAGCACGAAGCTTAGTGAGTTCCCCATAGCATACCCCACACAATCCACATAACCACATAATCCATATTAGTTATAACAGCTACATAAACCATATCAATCACATAAGCCATGCATATAAACATATAGGGATGTCGTGGGTTCCTCCCAGGGTCTTACTCCAGGATGTCATAGGCTCCTCACATGGTCTTACACCTAAGTGTCATGGGCTTACCCGTGGTCTTTAATAGGAAAGCCATGGGCTCCCTACATGGTCTTACACCCAAGTGTCATGGGCTCCCCCCCCCCCATGGTCTTGACCTGAAAAGTCATGGGCTCCCCCACATGGTCTTACATCCAAGTGCCATGGGCTCCCCCCATGGTCTTTAATAGGAAAGCCATGGGCTCTCCACATGGTCTTACATCCAAGTGTCATAGGCTCTCCCATGGTCTTCCATACAAATATAACACATATACAACTAGCATACCTCCTAGCACATAACCACCTAACATGCCATATAACACTACATCAACTAGTGTACCACATATCATAAAATGGGTTGGCCTTGGTGCCTTCGACCCATTGGTATGGTGAGGAGACTCACCTCACACTACTGAAGTCCATTACAGGGAGTCCTTAGCTACTGTCCTGGCAACTCCCTGGGATATCAATACCAAAATATTACCCAATTAGCAATTGGGTTCCACACCATGATCCATAATCCACATCTTGGGGTAAAGTGACCATTTTACCCTTGGCCCAACAAGACTCATAACTAAGGCCCAAGCCCAAAACCATTAAGGTCCAAAATCATAATATCCATAAAAGCCTAATGTATGGCCCAATTTCCAATTGGGCCCCATTCCTTCGCATGGGCCTCAACCTAGAGCCCAATAATGTTTTTCTAGTCCAAAAGGTCCAAGTCAAAGTCAACATTTTGGTTGACTCAACTCGCCGAGTTGGTCCATCAACTCGTCGAGTCCTATGAGCCATAAATCCTGAAATCACGATCCAACTCGCCGAGTCCTTCCTCATACTCGTCGAGTTCTTCCCTATAGCAGGATCGGGACTTTTCACTATAACTCGTCGAGTTCTTCGGTCTTCAAAACCCCTGAAACCTTAGCCAACTCGCTGAGTCATCTCCTAGACTCACTGAGTCTGCTCAGTAGTCAGAAAAGGTTGGGCCCACGACCCAACTCGCCGAGTTGAATGAACAACTCGTTGAGTCCCTCTTAGTCTAAATCCATTAAGCCACTTTCAGTCGAGTTTAATGCTTCTAAACCATAGATCTGGTCCCCTAAAGCTAATATCTTACGTAAAGTTGCTAACTTTCCTTCCATGCATGGCCTTTTGGAGCATAAAAGGCCAAAATGACACCTTAAAGCTTGCATGGGGATTCCATGGCCATAAAGTTTGCACCTTTATGCCATGAAACCCCTTCTAGACCCCATATCGGAAAGCGTAATCACTTGGGATATCCAAGTCTCAAAAGCTAACATTCTTGGACCAAAAACCCCCATAAAAGTAAAATGAAGAGATCTAAGAAATCATTGAGCAAGTTTGAGACTTGCTTACTCGAAAATGCTGAGAATGGGAAGATGCTTCTAGATCTAAGAGCCTATTCTTGAATCCCCAAGCTTCGCATTCTCCCACAAGCTTCAATTCACACAAACTCACTCAAAAATGGCTCACACACTCTCACAATGCATTAGGGTTTGGGGCTTGGAGGTTGGAAATGAGGCCAAAACCCTAGAGGTAAGTTGTTTAAATAGGGTGTAAAATCCCGAATTTAGGGTTTCCCAAACCCAGTCGAACTCGTCGAGTTGGTTTCTAATCCCGCATCCCAAATGATTCCTGCTCGTTGAGTTTTCCTCCCTAAACTCGACGAGTTTCCCTTTCTAATGAAGTTTATTTTTCTTTTATAAGTCTTCTATATTTCGGGTGTTACAACTCTCCCTCACTTAAACTAGACTTCGTCCTCGAAGTCCTCTGTAATCCTCTACCCCGGATACTTCTCACGCGCCTTGACTACGGCTCCTGCTGTCTGCCTTGAGTTAACTGATGCTCTTCCTGAGACCCAAAAATCACTATGAATCAGTCTGAATTCTCACATCAATCCCGTATGATGCATAATCTTGCCCGTACGGTCCAATCCTTGGAAGGACCACTATGCTAGACCTGCAATCCTGCCTCCTAGATAAGATGTCACTCTCTGGAGGTGAAGTATTGGAAACGCTTCAATCATGACGAATCTTGGGTACAAACCCCCCCCCCCCCCCACACCAACCGCCGACACCCCGTCCTGTACCCCACGAGT